AGGAATACAATAATCAAAGAAAGGAACGAGCCGAGAAAAAATGGAAGGAAAGTGAAGAGGAAATTGAAGGGGAGGTCAAGGAGGAAGTTGAAGCGGAAGATAGTGAGCTTGATCGGGAAGAAGAAAATGGGGAAGAGGTCAATGAAGAAATTGGCACTTTATTTTGAATCAACGGGTTTTCCTAGTCCATCGCCCATTTTGGAACCCGGTTTTTTTCAAAATACATAATAGTGAGGTGCGTGTTATTCCGGAACGCGCATGGGCGTTATTTTGAATTCACATATGACCCATTTTTAGGGGACGTGATTTTCGAAATAATGTCCATGCCCGCTATTTCGAGGATTTATGGTAATTATATGAGCCTTGCTCACATGTGTATACTTATCGTCATGGTTCAAAGTCATTTTATTACAAACATCTACATATTAGTTGAAATACTACCAAATAATTCATCACGAGAAATTGCATCCAAGTCACTAATCCCAATTCTAGCATAATATCTAATCAATTCATCCTTATCAATTTCTTCAATGTACTTTAAAGTTCTCCAAATCTTTTCAAGCAAATCTTTTGGAATTATAAATACTGATTGTGAATGTGAAGAAAGACCACGAAAAAGAGATATTAATAGGACTATTGATGCTATTTGTTGTTTTGAGAAATGTCGAATAAGTTAGTATCGCAAACAAGAATCGGCAGTTTTATTAAGGCATAAGATTAAAAATAAAAATGGTAAAAAAAAGTATTAAAACAAGTACCTCTCCGAACTTCAACTTCTTTTTGAATATTCAAAATATTCAAAACCCAATCAATGATATCTCTAAACCAAGTTGATAATGCTAAAGGCGACGTTTCGCATGCGCATCCGATGATACTTAATGCAGATACTTTTAATGTTTTATTTGGTTCTTTGTTTAATACATATAACAATGGTGGTAAAAGTGCCATGACTAGAAAAATATTATGCGTTTGAATTTAGTTAATTAGAAGGCATTTATAAATTTAAAAAATAGAAATTATTTACTGTATTTCCCAAGTACATCCCCACACCGCTGAATAGTTTGCAAAATGGCTTCCCCGACACGCAATCGATTATCCAGATTTTGCGAACCATCAACATAAATTGCCATCAACTTTTTCATAATTTTTTCACCATGAATATCAGTTAATGCAGATAACCCTTTTACAGCATTAAAATATATAAAACTACAGATAAATGAATATTGATTAATTCTAGATAACAATTAGTGATATAAATATTAAATAACTCACCTCTCTTCATCTTGAACCATATTCACGAAAATATCCAAAACTTTGTTCAAATTATCTCTTTCGTCCATAATGATATCTTTCTCAAGAACCATTTCTTTAAGCATCACAAGACCACGTGCCTTAATTGGTAATATATCATCTTGTAATGCTTCCATAGCCTCTTGAAGTTTTTTAGAACTTTCTTGTAAACGAATTTGTTCATTACTATTACCAGTATTTGAAGTTTGTGATGCTGCTCCGCGTACTGAAATAGTTAACTGTAAATTTCGCGCAAGTGATCTAACTGAGGGTGAATGATGTTTTTGTAATGTAAGGTTATTTTGTATTAAAGTTAATAGGCTGAAATCTTGAACTGAGAGAACTTTATGCTCTTTTTTTTTTTGATTGATTGATTGAAAAAAATTCAGTTATTATGTATTT